TCTTTTTTTAATGAAAGCAATTGGAATCCACTGAAGAATTCTAAGTGGGAAGATAGTGTGGTCAGATTTACATGTTTAAAAGATGCTTCAGCAGCTATACAGAGAGTATACTCAGAAGGAGCCCATGTGAAAGCCAGGAGACACGTTAGGAGGCCATAGTACAGAGGTTCGGGCTAAGCTAATGATAAAGATGGAGAAAATGGATTTGATTGCTGTTTAGGTGGTAATGGACTGGGAAAAAGAGAAAGAAAAACAAGTACCACGAATGATGCCAATTAGCTTTCCCACCCCTATTATTATAGACAACTAAGTTAGATAGAAATACTATAGGCAGTCAGACAGGGTTAGGCCCTTGCAGAAGCCAGTGCAAGAGATAAGAAAACATTACAACTGCAGCTGGTGGCACATTTGTTGAAGGGCAGGTCTCAAGACAAAGATTGAATGACCACACCTACATACCTTCCCAGGGGATAAACAATAATGATCAATATTCTAAACAGACATCAGGGGAGGCTGAGGCAGAAAGATAATTGGAAGACTAGTCTGGGCTACAAAGTGAATTTAAGGCTAGACTGAACTGCACAGTGAGACGTTGGCTCAAAAAGACAACAAATAAATGAACAAATCTTAATCTCTATTGTTCCTTAGAATTCATTCTTCAGTTTTGGAGAACATGAACTTGGTGTGTCGAACTTCTAGCAGGTTGGGAATTAGTAGTATTTCCTCTACATCACTTGGAGAACCTTTGTATCATTCCTAGTGTGGACAAGATACTTGGTGCATACAATTAAAGAAAGACATTTATTTTGGCTCACAATTTCAGAGGCTTCAGTCTTGGTCTACTGGCTCCAAAACACGAACATCAGGGTAGAAGGACATTGGGAAGTCAAGCTGTTCACTTCATTGCAGCCTGGGGCCAGTACAGGGGAAGAGTGCCAGAGAAGAAGGTGCCAAAGACCAAATATAGTCCCCAAGGTCACACCCCATAACCCACCCAACTACACAGGGAAGTGTGCTTTCTAATCTCCTAGATGTCTCTCAAGACCATCAAGTTGATATCATGCAATGCGCCAATAATAGTCTAGGTTCTTATGTAGGAAAAAACGAAGAATTGCCAAGTATACACCCAGTAGTAGCTAGCAAGCAGCTACATTTATTGAAGGTCATAGGAAGTCATGCTCATGTTAAGTAAGTCTTACCATAAGATAGAGCAGAGATAGAAAAAGGTGTCAAAGTGACAGAAAAACACTGTAGGGGAGACTACCCGCTCGGGGCCCCCTCCTGTCCCTCTCTCAGATAGGAGCTTTCTTTCTCTCAATAAATATATTCTGCTCATAAAAAAAAAACTGTACACCAAGCAAAGCATACAAAAGTTGCAACAGTAATGAAAAGGGGCAGATAAATCAGGTTTTCAGAATTTAAAGACCAGACATGTCTGATTAGGGGCCTCCCACCAGATCTGCAGGTGTGATTGACAGAATGATTGACACGGTGCTGAATCATCTTAGGGGATCTCAGTACACACATGCTTGTCCCAGAATTCACTCTGGTTTTATCTTTATAACATGTAATATACATTTATGAACCTATAATGAGGTAAGCATAGGGTAAAGGTGACTGGAAGGTCAGGGTAGGAGATCCTTTGCTTAGAGCATCCCTGATCTCCTGAGCTTTTGTTATTTCATACTTCAACTCTCTTCAAACAATGAAAGCCCACAAGGAATAGCCACAGGGTTTTGTTATAAATAAATGGAGGGAATGAAGTGACTAACTCACCTCCACCATTTCACTAAAGTGACAGCCAAGATTAACCATCATACTCAGATTTCTGACCAAACTAACTGGGTGGTGATGTCATTAATAGAAACGGGGACCCAGAAGGAGGACCAAGCTTAGGATGGGGTTGATATGGAGACTCAAAAGAACAATGTTGACTTCCTGTAAGTGGCCTGAGGTGACCTGGGAAAATGGTTCACTACTCTCTCGACCCAGAAAACCCCACAAAATCATGCAAATCAAGAGGCTCAAATCTTTGCATTCACTTTAAGAACACACATGAAACTGCACAGGCCATCAAGGGTATGCATATCTGAAAGGCCACCAAGTATCTGAAAGATGTAACATTAAAGAAGCAATGTGTGCCATTCCGGTGTTACAGTGGTGGAGTTGGTAGGTGTGCCCAGGCCAAACAGTGGAGCTGGACACAGGGCTGGTGGCCCAGAAAGAGTTCTGAATTTTTGCTGCACATGCTTAAAAATGCAGAGAGTAATGCTGAACTTAAGGGTTTAGAGGCAGATTCTCTGGTTATTGAATATGTCCAGGTGAATAAAGCACCCAAGATGTGCCACCATACTTATAAAGCTCGTGGCCAGATTAACCCATACATGAGCTCCCTCTGCCATGTTGAGATGATCCTTACTGAAAAGGAACAAATTGTTCCTAAACCAGAGGAGGAAGTTACACAGAAGAAAAAGATATCCCACGAGAAACTGAAGAAACAAAAACTTATGACATGGGAATAAATTTAGCATAAAATTTTAAAAAGAACAATGTTGAATATGTTGAATATGAGTGACCTTGAGACATCTCTGAGATGAAAAGAAGCAACTGAATATCAGACTTGGGATTAGGAAAGCCAACTAAACTGGAGATGAACATATGAGTCCTCCAAGCCTTGGGTTGAGCTACAACAATATGGTGTCAGAACAGTAAGAACACCAATAGAACCTTGAGCAACTCTGGCATTCTATAAAATTGTCTTTAACACAAATGTTGGCCCTTGGCCCAAGAAGTTTTCCCCATGTGCTAGGTGTGCAATATTTATACCTCCCTCCTGATGTATTTTTGCCTTTTTTCTAATCCAAACCTCTGACTGACACATCATCTATGTAGTGCATTCTTGCTGAAAAATATACTTTGAATGAACTCCCAAAGAAATATTCCAGACACTCCACATCATGGGACAATATATAGGGCAAATAGACCAGCCTTTCAAAAATGCCCATGTCCAGTGATCTAACTAACTACACTGAAGACAACAGTGTGCAATATAACCACCATCATTGAATACCTATCATCTTGGGGGGCTTTGGGGGGGGTTTTCTCTTTTGAAATTGTGTATTGTTTCTAATGTCATATATATTATTTTTCTATTCTTTTTTGTGGTACTGGGGATTGAACTCAAGACCCTGCGCTTGCCAGGCAAGCACTTATTCTACTGAGCTATCTCCCCGGTCCCGTGGAGTTTTAAATTCAAGGGAAAAAATTATAAGAAACACATTGGCAAAAAAAAAAAAAAGAAATACATTGGCAATGGTAAGGAAAAATGAAATATGACATACCTGAGGTTACTGTATCAATGCTAACATTCGTATGTGTAGACATGATATTAGGGTTATATACAGAATGTCCTGGTTCTCAGGAGGCATATAGAAGCACTTGGAGATATGTCTGTGGCTTTCAATAGTCCAGAAAAAAAAAGTCCATATGCAGATAAAGAGAAAAATAAAGAAAATATAGAAATTTCTTTATTTGTGGAGATTCAAAATGAAGATATTTGAGTTTTCTATGTGTTTCCTGTAAACTTTCTTTAAATTACCAATTTTTCAAACAATACATTAGAGAAATTACAATAACACCTAAGTTTACACAAAATTGGAGTACCTTTCACCAGTTAAGGGTAGAGGCACGCGCACACACACACACGTGCGCGCACGCGCGTGCATGCGCGCGTGTGCACAAGGCTATCTTCTTTTATTAATTTTATTAGCAAAATAAATATATATATAACTTTTAATATATAAAATTCTGAGTTTTATCACAGTGAATCTATACCTATATGTACTATATCCTGATTCTTTTTCCCCATTTCCCTGCCCTCCATTCAACCCTCCCTTCCCTCCTTATTTACAAAAACATTGTTACCCTTTTTTCTTCTACTCTTTTTTTCTTTCTCCTTCATTCCCTTCCTACTCCTCCATCTTAGTTAATTTTCTCTCGTTGCTAGGACAAAATACCCAACACCCAGAATTAAGGAAGGAAAGGTTTATTTAGCTCACAGTTAGTGGAGGTTTCAGCCCATACTCGGCTGGCTCCAAAGCAGAGTGGCACATGGTAGAGGGCGTCCATTCATGAGCAGCTAAGAGCAAAGATAGGAGCAGCTGCTGAGGCAGCTAACAAGCCTCTATCCCTTCCTTAATTTGTATGCACATTATCACCCCAGGGCAGGTGTAGCACTCATACCCATAATCCTAGCATTGGATCATGAATTAATCACAAACTCTAGAAGCCTGCCCCAGTGACTACATGAGGCTTTGGGGAGACAACTAGATGCAAACCATGACATGCCCTTCCCTTATTCCCCTTCCCATTTGAACATTTTCATCCTACTTCCCAATATCTAACATCCATTTTGGTCCTTAGTTACTCTTTGGTTGGTTTCTCATATAAGAGAAAAAACGCAATATTTAAACATGTGTATCCAATTTGTTTCACTCACAAGGATGGTCTCAAAGTGCATCCATTTATCTAAAAAATCTCAAAATTATTCTACTTTATGACAGTAACATTCTATTGTGTAAAAAAAAGAGATTTTTTTTTCCATTCATCCCCTGATGAGCACTTGAGCTGTTTCCAAGATTTTGCTATTACAAATTGTGCATATATTGCTATGATGTGATACTTTTAATTATTTCAGAAAGATACCAAGAAAGGGAATAGCTGGATTGAATGTAACCTTTAGTTTTAGTTTTTGAGGCATCTCCATGCCAATTTCCACATTCATTGCATCAAATTATACTCCCACTGACAATGGTGAAAAGCTCCTTTTCACCCATTGGCTCCCCAGCAATTGTTAATGGTTGATTTCTTCTTAATAGTCCTTCTTTCTGAAGAAGAATCTCAGCACTGTTTTAGCTTGTATTTGTCAAAGGGCCAATGATGTTGAACATTTTTTCATATATTTATTTGCTGTTTGTACTTTTTCTTTTTTTTTTTCCTTTTTTTTTAACAGTGAACCATGCATCAATTTATTGGTATCATTAATTTATGAATAAGATAGGTACTTTTTCCCCCTCACAAAGTGACATGGATTACAATCTGCCATAACATGTGCCCACACATCTTCAGGGTGAAAATGTAGCACTTCAAGCTCTAGTCAGGGCTGGTTATTCTTTTTTTCACTTTCACAATTTTGATGCTGCTGCCAGCAGTCTTCTCTGCATTTGCTCTGAATTCCATCTTCAGGGCATCCCTCACTGCCTTTGCATAGATCTGGGAGTAGCGAATGTAGCTGAGTCCAGCCTGTCGCCAGTAGGCCACCATGATGTTGCGAGAGGGGTCGTATGTCGGACCCAATCACTAGGAAAATAGCCTTTGTACTTTTTCATGCGAGAAATATCTATTCATTTAAGGTATCTAGTTTTTGGTGGGTCTTTGTATTTGGGCCAAGTCTGATTTTTTTTTTATTTTAGTTCTTTATACATTCTAGATATTGGTTCTTTGTCTAAGGAATAGCTAGTAAAAAGTTTTTCCCATTTTGTGGATTTTCACTCTGTCATTATTATTTTTCTTTTTTTAAATCCAAAATCTTATTAATAAAATGGCGTCCAAGTTGATTCTTCATGTTTTCTGTGCAATCAGCATTCTATTGATGAATTATTTGCCTACACCTCTGTCTTCAAGAGTTTTATTTATTCTATTTTCCAGAATATTTTTTTATTTTTTTATTTTTTGGTTAGGGAAGAGTCCACAGGGTGTTCAGGGTCTCACTACAGATTGGACTCATAGTCATCCACCTGTTTACAGCCTCCCAAGAGCTGGGATTCCAGGCGCATGCCACCACACTCAGTCTCTATTTTCCTGAATATTACGTGTTTTGTTTTGTTATGTTTTTGAGAATGGGTTGCACTATGCAGTTTATGCTGACCTTGAATTCACTTTGTAGCCCAGGTTGGCCTCCAACTTGCAGCGATCCTACTGCCTCAGCCTCCTGAATGCTGGGACTACATATGTGCACCACCACATCTTGCATGTTTCTGTTTTAATAGTTAGATCTTTGTGGCCAGGGAGATAGCTCAGTGGCACAGCACCTGAGTGGCAATCACAAGTTCCTGAGTTAGAGTCCCAGTACAAAAAAAATTAGATTTTGTTTAGTGACCCTTGTTTAGTGCATGTTGAGAGACATGGGTATAGCTTTAATCTTTGGCATGTGGAAATCCAGTTTTCTCTGCACCATTTATTGAAAGGGCTATCTTTATTTTATGAAGATCTTTGGCCACTTTGTCAATGCTAAGATATCTGATTGTGTTTGAAGTTGATTCTGGATCTTCTAATCTGTCCCATGGACTTTGGGTCTGGTGTAGTTTTGGTTTTTGTTTTTCTTTGTTTGATAATAATATGCTGTTTTATCATGGTGTAGTCCTTGCATAATTTCAAATCAGTAATTGTGATGCCCCCTGCATTGTCTTTGTTGTCGAGAATTGCTTTTGCTATTCTAGGTCTCTTGTGGTTCCAAATGAATTTTAGGATTGTTTCCTCTAATTCTGTGAGACATACTTATTGTTATTTTGATTGAGATTACATTAAATCTGTATAACAATTTTGGCAGTATGGTCCTTTTCCTTGTACTGGTTCTTCTTACCTAAGAATTAAGCATATCTTTCCATTTCCTAACAACCTCTTTAATCTCCTTTTTCAGAGTAGTTTTCAATATAAAGATCTTTTACTTCCTTCATTAGATTGATTCCTAGGTATTTCATTTTTGGATGTTATTGTGAAAGGTGTTGTTTCACTAATTTCTCTCAGTACATTTGGTTTTCATGTACAGGAATAATATTGATTTTTGAGTGTTGATTTTGTATCCTATTTTGGTTTTTTTAATTTTTATTTTTTTATTTTGTTTTGTTGTTTTTTCAATGGAACCAGGGATTGAACTCAGGCCCTTGCACTTGCCAGGGAAGCGCTTATTCCACTGAGCCATCTCCATTGCCCCTTAACTTTTATTTTTAAAAGAGGCTACAAAATACTATTAAAACAAAAATTACAAACAATATAGAATTTCACTAAACAAAATACTATGAATTTCACAGTTTTTTGTCTTCAAATTAGTTGTTCATATTACCAGATATATACATGCAAAATTGAAAGAAAGAAATATATAAGAAATTTAGAAGAAAAATAGGGCAAAGAATTGAAGAAAAGGAGACAAAACAAATTAAATATCAACTGCTCCTTTCCACAGACCAGCAGAAATCCACAGTACAGTTGTATAAACCATCCTGCACACATACATAGATGCATCTCTTTCCCCCACTCCCTCTGTATCCTGTTATGCTACTAACTTGGTTATTAAATCTAACTCTTATGGTAGAGTTTTTGGAGTCTTCTATGTAGAGTACCATGTCATCTGAAAATAATAATTTAACTTTTTCTTTTCTTATCCTTATTCCTTTTATTTCTTTAATGTTTAATTGCTATACCAATGTTTGTAGAGCCATACTGAATAGCAGTGGTGATAGTGGGCATCCTTGTCTTGTTCCAGATCAGAACAAAAGCTTTCAGTTTTTACCATTTAGAATGATGATGGTTGTTGATTTGTCACAGATGGCTTTTCTCAGTTTGAGATAAAGACCTTCTATGCCATTTTATATGGTTTTTGTTATGCATGGGTCTTGGACATTGTCAAATGCTTCTTCTGCATCTAATGAGATGATTATTTTATTTTTGTCCTTGATTCTGTTAATAGAATATATTACATTTATTGATTTGCATATGTTGAATCATCCCTGTATTCCTGAATCCTACTTGGTCATGGTATATAATCTTCTTGATAATTTGTTGCATTCTGCTTGCTAGTATCTTATTGAGGATTTTTGCATCTATGTTCATTAAGGAGATTGGCATGTAGTTCTCTTCTACAGTTGGATCCTTTTCTAGTTTTAGTATCAGGATTGCTTCCTTCCAAGAATTAGTTTGTGAACACTGCTTCTTTCTTAATTTCATGAAAGAGTTTCAGGAGTAGTGGGAATTATATTTTCTCTATAATTCTTGCAGAATTCGGCAATGAATCTAGCAGGATATAGGCTTTTCTTTGCTGATAGTTTTAAAATCACTTCTTCAATTTATATCTTCTTGATTCAGCTTTGATAATTCATATGTATCTAGGAATCTGTCCATTTCTTCTTTGTTTTCCAACTTATTAGAGTACAAGTTCTTTAAGTAGCTACTGATGATCTGGATTTCTAAAGGATCCATTATGATTTCACCCCTTTTATTTATTGTTAGGTGGATTTGAGTCTTTTCTTTCCTTTTTTTTATAAGATTGCCTATGGGTTTGTCTATTTTACTTAACCTTTCAATGAAATAATTCCTTAACTCATTGATTCTTGTTTTTCTAGTCTCAATTGCATTAATTTCTGCTCTGATCTTTGTAATTTCTTCCCTTGTACACATGAGTTTAACTTGCTCTTCTTTTTATAGGAGCTTGAGGTTCAATATCAGATTATTTGTTTCTGTTTTACTGATGTGTGAATTCACCACTATAAATTTCCCTCATAGGACTACATTCATATATCCTATAAATTCTTTTGTGTTGTATTGGATCATTTAATTGCAGATACTTTCTAATTTCTATTTCAATTTCATCTTGACCCAGTGATTGTTCAGGAGGAAGTTTTTTTAATTTCCATGAGTTTATGAAGCTTTTGTGGTTTCTTTCTCTCTCTATTTTTTAAAATGTATTTAGTACAGGGTCTACAGGGTCTCACTGCACAGATCAGACTTACAGTGATCCTCTTGTTTCCAGCCTTCCAAGTGCTAGGATAACAGGCACACACCACCACACCCAGTCTCATTTGCCATCTCAGCATGTCCCAAGGGCAGGGCTGTCATGGTATGAGGATGGAACCCCGGTCCTCTAGCGCTTGCCTAAGCAGGCACTTTAGTCCACTGAGCTATCTGACCAGCGCTTTGTGGCTTCTTTTGCCACTGAATTCCCAATTTTATTGCATTATGATCTGATAATATGCATGGGATAATTTTTCAATTCCTTACACTTATTAAGCATGGTCTGTGTGCTAGTATATGATGTATTTTAGAGAACATCTTATGTGAAGCTAAAAAGAATATTATTCAGTTGTTGTGGGGTGGGAAACTCCGTAGACAGCTACTAAATCCATTTGATTCTTATGTTTCTTTGTTAATTTTTTTGTGTAGTTGGTCTGTTTGTAACAGTGGTGTATTGCAGTAAAACATTACAATTGTATTAATACTTATTTGATTTTTTCCTGTCCATTAATGTTTTATATAGTTAGGTATATCAGTATTTGCTGCATGTATATTTATGAACATTATCTCTTCCTATTGATTTGTTTCCTTAACAATTACGTAGTAACCTCCTTTGTCTCTTCTGATCAGTCTTGGCTTGAAATCCACTTTGTTTGCAAAAAGCATAGCTTTTCCTGCTACTTTCCAAATTCCTCTCACATGGAGTATTTTTTCATCCTTTGACTTTCAGTCCATGAATCTTTTTGAGTTAAATGTGTTTCTTGTATGCAGCACCTTGTTGGATCTTGATTCTTGACCAGTTCTGCCAACCTATTTCTTTTGGTTAGTGAATTGAGACCATTTAGTTTGACGGTTATAATTGATATACATTGTCTTATCTTTGTTATACTATTTTACTTTTATTGGACCTCTTTTTTCCTTTCTCTTTAATCAAGTGCCTTCCCTGGTGGATTTATTCTATTGGGATTCATACAAATGTCTTTGTTATCTTTTTCTAGAATATGTTTCAGAATTTTTTGGAGAGAACCTGTACTGTAACAACATGTAACACAGTTGTGCTCCAAATTTTCTGATCAAGAAGATTATGGAGCCACAGAGGAATGTGTTCGATGATCTAAAGTGAGCCTGGGGAGAGTCACATGGAGAGAAAAAACATTTTCTCAAGCTTTCACAGAGAGCAAATTAGTCAAGCAATGGCCGTGACTCATCCTCATGTCTGACACTGACAAAAGGATGCACAAAGGGTGGTACAGGGCTACAGGATAAATCCTGAGAGTACTTGGCTGACCTTATCAGATACAAAAGTTACATTTCTTATTATATAAGTCTTGCTATATCTTGGTCTTAATCATCCAGCAGAAAAGGATAAAAACAAGCTACAACTCTTGTTGCATAGGTCCTGCTTTACCTTGGTCTTAACCATCCAGTAGAAAAGTATGAAGACGAAATATAGGAAGTAAAGCCATGCT